AGTAAGGATGCCGCGTGGTGAAAGGGAGGGACCGAGGGAGAAGCATGAAGAGAGGAGGACAGAAGCCACAACGGCCAGATCCTGGATGCTTTTAGGACTCTGGATTTTACTCTGAGTCAATGAGGAAATCACTAGAGCATTTTGAGTAGGAAAAAAAACTACTGGAAAGGCCATTTGTGTCTCTTCTTTTCAGAAATGCTATTCAGACCCTTTGCCCATTTCTAATCAGATTGTTTGTTTTCCTGCTGCTTGTTGTCTATAGTCACATGCCACATGCTGATGACATTTCAGCTCACCATGGACCTCATACGGCAACGGTGGTCCCACTAAATTGCAGGAGAGCCAAACATCTCCTGTTGCCTGATGACATGGTAGCAGTCCTAATGTCCCTCAGAATGGGAAAAGATATTTGCTGGTTATGCTTCCGACAAAAGTCTTATAACCAGAATCCACAGAGAACTCAAGGGTAGTATCAAGAAGAGAACAAGTGATCCCATCGCAGGATGGGCAAGACACTTAAAGAGAAACTTCTCTGAAGAAGACAGACGCATGGCCTATAGACATATGAAAAAATGCTCACCATCCTTAATCATCAGAGAAATGCAAATCAAAACCACTCTGAGATATCATCTAACGCCAGTTAGATTAGCCCATATCACAAAATCTCAAAATCACAGATGCTGGCGGGGTTGTGGAGGAAAGGGAACACTTCTACACTGCTGGTAGGAATGCAAACTAATACGTCCCTTTTGGAAAATCATATGGAGAACACTCAGAGATCTAAATATAGATCTACCATTTGATCCTGTAATTCCTCTGTTAGGTATATATTGAGAAGACCATAAATCACGCTATAATACAGATATCTGTACCAGAATGTTCATTGCAGCCCAATGCACAATCGCTAGGTCATGGAAGAAGCCCAAGTGCCCATCAACCCATGAATGGATCAATAAATTGTGGTATATGTACACCATGGGACACTATATAGCCACAAAGAAAGATGGAGACTTTGCCTCCTTCATGTTTACATGGATGGAGCTGGAAAATGTCCTCCTTAGCAAAGCATCTCAAGAATGGAAGAAAAAGTATCCAATGTACTCAACACTATTATGAAACTAATTGTTAGCTATCTTAGGAAAGCTATAATCCAAATGGAGTCCAAGACTATGGGGAAAGGGGAGAGGGAGGGGAGGGGGGAGGATGGGTGAAGAGAATGATATTGTGGGGATCACGCCTATGATTTATCCTATTAGGGTACATGTGAATTTTTCTAAAGGTCGAATATAAATGTCTTAACACAATTATGAGAAAGACATGATGGCTATGTTAGTTGGATAAGAGTTTTTCAAACTGTATATGGAGGCAACACCCTGTATCCTATGATAGAATTAATGTACACAATTATGATCTAATTTTTTAAAAAAGAGCACTTACCATGTAACCCAAGAATCCAGCTCTTGAGTGTGTACAAGGGAAATAAAAAGGTATGTGAGCAGAAAAAGATGCGCACAAATCTTTTTAGTCTTTATTCAGAATTACCAAAGACCGGAAATGACCCAAATGCCCTTCCCTGGTGAGTGGAGAAGGAAACTGTACTGCATCCCTACAGTGGAATAAAAACAAGCAAACTTAGCCTAAAAATGAACAAACGACTGATAAAGTGCAGCCTGGGTGAATCTACAATGCTTTGTGCTAAGAAGCCAGACCCAAAAAACTACCCAGAGAATGATTCCATGTTTGTGTTGGGACAGAAAACCAACCAGTGGTTATGAGGAGCTGAGGGCTGGGAGAGGCGCTGGGGACTACGATGGCCTGCAGGGCCATGATATCTATCCTGGCCTCCCTATCTATCCACCACCCTCGGGAGGGTGATAGATGTTCTGTATCTTGACTGCAGTCATGGTTACATAACTGTACGCATTCCTTAAAACTACTGGAAAACATTAAGAGGGGCAGATTTTATACTGTGTCGATCGTGCCTCTATGAGAAACATTTCTGATCAGCCCACTTACCTGCTGGAAGCTCTTCTCTGGTTTTCTGTCTCCCCTCAGCAGGGCTTTCAGAACATGCCTTCTTCTCCAGCCTCCTCTGTCCCCGTTTCTTCCCACCAACCACACGGCCTTTTGCTTTGCTGAACACGCGGGTTTTCCTCTCCCTTCATCTATGAGGTCGGATGATTAAGTTCGCAAACTAGTCCTAGAAAAGGTGCTACGTACATCACTATGGTCACCGTCAAGGTTCTCCCCTGGGAAGCTGTGCGCTGATGCCAGCACACTCCAAAAGCAAATGTGGAACTTGTTTCCTGGAATGGCCATCAGAGCTGCCACTGTGTGATGTCAGACAGTTAAGTTCGCAAACTCATCCTGGAAAAAGTGCTGCCTACCTCGTCACCGAGTATCACGATGGTCCCCGATGGCCCAGGGAAGTAGTTTGAAGGTGACCATGTGCTGCCTACCTCATCACTGAGTATCACGATGGCCCCTGATGGCCCAGGGAAGTAGTTTGAAGGTGATCATGTGCTACCTACCTCATCACCGAGTATCACGATGGCCCCTGATGGCACAGCGAAGTAGTTTGAAGGTGACCATGTGCTACCTACCTCATCACTGAGTATCACGATGGCCCCTGATGGCCCAGGGAAGTAGTTTGAAGGTGACCATGTGCTACCTACCTCATCGCTGAGTATCATGATGGTCCCCAATGGCCCAGGGGAGTAGTTTGAAGGTGACCACAGTGATATTCAGCAAAGAAGTATGTGGCACTTTTTCTTTTTCAGATGAGTTTCTGAACTTAATTGTCTGACCCTATTCTCAACTATCTCCATTTATTCAAAGTCCTGCCTCCCTTAGCACCTCACTGGGGGAGCCATAGTGCCCTCCCCAGGAGACCTGTAACCCACTTCAAGCACCACAAGAGGGTGGCACAGTCACAGACAAACAAAACTGCAGACGAGATGCAGACTTGTATGTATATCCCTCGCTCCCTCACTAGCCTCAAAGTGCACAGTCCCCCCACACACACTTTGGGTTCAGACTGCACATGGGCAGAGTCGCCCGGGTCAGTTGCTTGCCTGGGTGTGGTGGGAGCACTACCTGCTCTCAGAGTCTTGTCCTCTGCCTTTCCAAATGTTAAGTCCTAGTGAGAGCTCATCCTGACTCAGCTGGCTCAGCTCCTCAGAGATTGGGGTGTCCTCACCCCACCACACTCCCATCTAGCAGCTAAGGCCTCCACTCCTGACTCCAGCCCCAGTACCACGTCCCAGCATGACCTTCCCTGAACTCACACGAGATGTGCTTCCTGTGGCACATGCTCTCTCACCATCCTGCTATTTGTCTTTAATGTTGAAATAACAAGATTTTGGATACAATATAATTATGCCATAATGAACCTTAATTTCAGCTGTTTCATTTTTGCTTTTTTAATGTAGCTACTGGAGAAGTTAGAATTATACCCGTGGCTACATCATATTTCTGCTGGACAGCTCTACCGTAGCACATACACACCTGAATCAGTAGGAGAGAAGACCCTGGATCATCTAAAGCTCACCAGTTAGAAGAAGAGATGGTTTGGTCCACTCTTCTCTTCTCTTCAAATCCATTTCTGGTATTGCCATTGTAAGTTCTATGCTGACCTAGACTCACCACAGATGTCTAACTTTTCTCCGTGCTTTTCCACTCAGTGGAAAATCAGCAGATCATCTCCCCCTCCAAGTTGACCCCAGCTCCTCTTTCTGTCTCCATTCCCTGTGGAAAGTGTCCTCTACACTTGAATAATGCACCAGTAAGAAGGTCACATGGGCTCGCTTGTAGCTCACTCTAGCACTTGTAGCTCAGCAGCTAGGAGCGCTAGCCACATACAGCAGAGTTGGCAGGTTCAAATCCAGCCTAGGCCTGCCAAACAACAATGACAACTACAACCAAAACACAGCCAGGCACCTGTGGTCCCAGCTACTTGGGAGGCTGAGACAAGAGAATGGATTAAGCCCAAGAGTTTGAGGTTGCTGTGACCTGTAATGCCACAGCACTCTACGGAGGGTAACATAGTGAGACTGCCTCAAAAAAAAAAAAAGAAGGTCACATGTTTAGATAGCAAGGAACTAGAACTTGGGTGTTTTCCCCCAAAACCGCCCCTTCTGTACAGCACAGGCTCTAAGCAGCCAATGTTCATTTGCATTATTTGGAAACACCTGTGCAATGTGAGCCACGTTCCCTAATAACCCTCCTCTCATGTGTGCGTGTGTGTGTGTGTGTGTGTGTGTGTGCGGCCTATTACATATATAGCCTATTTCATGTATATCCTATGATATCCTATTGATCCTATCTTTCTAGAGAACCCTAATGCAACCTGTCATTCCCATAGATTTTATTCTTTTCCCTTTTTCTTTTTCCATCCTTGGAGATATGACTCAATCAGGGACTGTCAGCAAAGGGCAGTAGGAAAGTTAGAAATTAGCTTCAGAAGGAAGGGCAAGGGCGAGAGCCAGCAGCTGGGCGCTGCCTCTGAACTGTGTAGCTGGGGGGTCTGCACAACAGGAGCTGACATTTCTAACACCTCCTTCACTGCCAAGTGCCATTCCTATGTTATGCTAGCCAATCTTGCAACAGTATTTTAAAGGTAAAGGAAAAGGACAATGAAAAGGACAATGCCCTTGCCAATCACCCCTTGTGGGATTATAGGACTAAGCAGGAGGGGAAACAGTGGGAACAGGATGCCACACCTGTGAGCAATCTGTCACATCCTGGAACTGACACTCAAAACAGCAACATTCCTTTCAGTTGACAGCATCTCACAACGCATTGATTTTACTTTTGCTTTTATTAATATTCACAAAAGTCCCATGCCTACCGTCTCAACCTTGGAGATCTGGCGTGTGATCGATCGGAAGCGTAGCTCAGACTACTTTCTGCAAATCACCCCCAGAGGAGATTGACTAATAGAGCCTTACTTTCTGTAATGTGCATTGTAAAAACCACAGGTCTGAAATATAAAATTGTGATCACACACGCCAGTCCTTCATGCGCTGACATTCTGAGGGCCGCTTCCTGTGAGCTTCCTTGATGGACAGCATTCTGCACAGATATGTGCCTGGAGCAAGAAATATCCCTGAGGATAGGAGCACTTCCCATTTGGGTCCATTTGCATTAGTACAGGAATCATTTTCCTGCCTCTGTGTTTCCCATGACATCATATACCTTAAATATACACAATAAAATTCATTTGTTAAAGAAAGGTGATAAATTGAAACTAGTAGACTAACCCCAACGTGATCACCTGAGGGAAAAACTCAACAAAACTCAAGGAGGGGAGAAGGGAGGCAGCGGTTGGGTGAACTCCCCCTTGATGGGTACACTGCACGGATATTTTGCACACCCCCTGGGTGAAGGACAAACCTATAACTCAGACTTTAACCTGATAAGAGCAAACGATACATCGTAATCGTGTGTACCCCTGTAATAATATGAAAATTTTAAAACAAACATTCACATATGGGCCCTCCCAGATCTTGCCCTATGCAATTTCAGGGCCTTTCACTGATTCTCATTTGTATCCTTTTGCTGTAATACAATGGAAATGTAAGTGTAGTATTTTCAATCAGTTCTGAATCATGTTAGTAAATTGCTGAACCTGAGGGGAAGTGAGAACCCCTGAATTTGTAGCCTGCTGGTCAGAAGTGAGGCTGTCCTAGGAACTCCCAAGTGTATAGCTGGCATCTGGGGTAAGGGCCATCTTATGGAGAACTGTGCCCTGCACTTACAGGGTTTAGCTGCACTCAGGTAATTAGTGTCAGAAATAATTTTTTCGTCCTCAAAAATGGTATTAGCTAAAATAACCTTGATTTACTGAAACATGATTTGGGGAAAGAAAGGATGAAGGAGCAGAACCTTTGATTCCTGGATGGCTCCCTAGTCCCTTGTCACCTGTGGAATAAAACTGCTTCTGTGAAGGGATCAGTTACTAAAGACACAATTTAGCAATAGAATTTAGAAGTGATAGATTCAACCCCCGGGGCAGCCGGCTCAGGGATATATCAGGAAAGACCAAGCAATAAGAAAAAGCAAAGTATACAATGCCTGGGTTGTTGTGATCTGTAACAGCTAAGATGGAAGGACAGATGAGCCAAGTTAGATTCTAGTGGTCTGAACTGCAGCCTCTGGGGGCTCACTGAAAGAATCTTATCCGGGCAGACCCTGATACTGTGTCAAGTTCAGATTCTGGCTGCCTGCCATATAGCCACTAGTCTCAGGACCTTTTTCAAAGGGAAAAGTTACACTGAAACTAGGACAGTGAGGATGAGTCTGATTCCTAAGAGCAAAGGGGAAAGATGAAGGGTGTCAGGGAGCTCAGCCAGCAAGGTGAAAATGTTTAAACACCTATTAAGAAATGGGATGAAGAAAGCTGGTGTTGATAAACCAGAAAAGGTCTTAGTGCAACACCTTTAGAATTGAGAAGAGCTAAGGAAGCCTCTGCTGGTCTCCCAACAATGGAGGGTCCGCTTCATTCACCCATTTGGAGAAATTCAAGAAACCTGACCTCAGATCACCAGGGGTGATGAGTCCCTGATCCAACCAGTACAGGGATTGACAGAAGGGCCAGGGTTTCTTGAATGAATTCAGATTGTTGGTATCAAAAGTCATTTCTAGAAGGGAAAAGACCCTGATGAGGTAAAAGACCTTAAGTACAAATTGTGAACTACAAATAAAACCCTGAGCCCTCTGCCGAGTGAACAGCCCCTCTTGGCTAAGGAGACCCCAGAAACTCAATACCAAGCTCCCAGCCATGACGGAGCAGGGGCTATAAAGCACAGTTTGCATGATTTTTCCTTTATAAATAATCATGTATCCTCCCATATCTTGTTGAATACACACGTTTCACAGCCCTACTCAGAATAAAATCCTATCCCTTTTGTCTGTCCCTTAAAGTACATATTCCCAACTGGTGGCTAAGAGCTGTGTTTCCCAGCTTGCCAGAATGGTCAATGTGAGCTACAAAAAAAAAGAGATTTTAAGAAAAATAAAGTTCTCATTTTTCCAAAGCATAAACCTCATTTTACTTTTTTTTTTTTTTTTTTAGTTAATAAGCAAATTTTGAAAATCACTGATGGTGGGAGAAAGGCCAGGTCATGGGGCAGGACTGCTGAGGCCCAGGTGAGCCCTTCTTCCCCCTCCACATGCTGTGACTTCCCATAGTTTTCAGAAGAACAGAAGCAGTTCTCATTTCAAGTGGTAAGGGAATTAAGAAAAACTCACCTACCTGCTGACCTTGTGCAAATAGTTTGGACAGTGCTGTCCATGCTGGAGATTGCAGGGAGAATAGGTACTAAAGACCCCATTGTTGGCAAGGGAAAACACCCCCAGAAAAAAAGGGAAAACAGAAATAAGCTGAGCAAGGCAGCATAAAAACAGTTTAGCTAACTTACTTTTAAGCCAGCAGCTAAATTACTTATCTGAGCAGTTCCTGCTTGTAACAGAAGCCTGGCCTGTAGGGATACAGCTTGCAGACATGCCTGCTGGGTCTGTAAACACTCAGAAGAAGAAAGACCATGGAGAGAGCTACGTGCAAGGCCTGGGAAGGAACGTGAACCAGGCCATTCCCTGCCCAGTCAACAGTCAAAGCAAATACCCATTGTGGGGATTTGTATTATGGCCAGGGCAGAGATCAAGGGAACAGCTCAAGCCCTGAAATATTGGCAGGAGGGCTTGCACCTTAATCACAGAGGAAGATGCCTCTGGGTGGAGATCAGAGGAAAATTCTTCTCTTCCACCAATTCTTCAGAGGAGCCTGAGCCATTGCATCTGCTCTACAAAGAACTAAAGAAGATTAACCTTCCCCAAGGAATCTGTGTGCGTGACCACAGACAGGAGTCTGCCCCCACACAAGGCTCAGGTTTCGTATTTCTCAAGGCTGCTCAGAGCCTTAAAGTTAATGATTAGAGATAGAATAAGAACTAACATACTTACTCAGAGAAACTGCTGACGTTTTTGTTCCCTTCCTCAGCTTACCCTCTGGGCTAAATGAGATAATAGCCTTCAATAAAAGCTGAGTGGAACACACACTCAGGGCTGCTCACTGGAACCCCACAAGCTAGAGGTGGTCTCCCATGTTCCCACCTTTGAAACTCTATTCTGCACATCCTGTCTCTTTATCTCTCACCACTTTTAACTTTATTTTTCTTCAGTCAACCACCACCAGTTCCACAGGTCTTAAAGGACCTTTCCCCTGAGTGGGGATCCTGGCAGAAGATGACCAATACAGGGGAACAAAAGAGAATCCACATAGGAAAGATAAGGCAGTGGGAGAATCAATTCAGGAGGAAAACATAGCTCAAGAAAAAGAAAAACAGTGTATTTGCCTTGGGGGAATTTTAAGAGAAATACTTTAATATGAAAAGACCTCAAAGTTGCAAAGTTAAGCCAACAGAATTACATGAAAAGGAAGATTACAAAGCTAAGGAAATGAGCTGAGGATCAAAACAACACAATTTGTGAAATGGTAAATCAGAAAGTAATTATAACTAAGAGTTGAACTGCAAATACGGAGGAAAGACCTGGTGACCTCAGAGAACACAGAGGAAAAGTAAAACATATAGAAATTAGACAAGATAAATTACATATGGAGAACTCCATAGGTAAACTGATGTCTGTGAAAAAGAGAACATAAAAGATATTTAATCATCCAAGAAGCTTTTCCTGAAAGGGAAGGACTGATCTGTAGCTCAATTCCTAGTGTCCCAGGAACAGTGATGCAGAATGACTGAGACAAGGGTTTTTAATGTCAAGGATGAAGAAAGAATCCTCCAAGCATGCGTTTAGATAGAGAAGTTCATTTACAAAGAGTTCAAGAAAATTTGATGAGCCTTGGTCTTCTCCAAAACATCAATCAATAAACAAGAGACATTTGCAAGGCTAGGCAAGAGGGTGGTCCCTAAGCATGTGGTCTCTCTCCAACGTGCTCTCCAGGAACAAAGTTTTCCAGATATGGAGAACCTCAGGGAATGAAGCTTATTTTTGATGTATTTCAGAGTATTATAATAAAAATAATGACATCGTACACTTCACTCAAAACAATTCAAAATGCACACCATTCACTGGAGTCAATATTTGTTTGTATTGTTTTGAAGGAAAATTTACACAGAGTGAAACATGAAAATCTGTAACATAATGTTTGAGGAGTTTTGACAGATACATAACTACTTGTCACAATAGAGAGTATTCCCTTCACCACCACAGACATTCGCCCCAGACATTGCTGTCTCTACTCCACCCAGAAAAGCAGAAAGGCATGGCTTTATCTCTCAAGCTCTGAGGATACTCACAGCGTAGCCTGGGAGGAGCCCAGGCAGCTCTGGACTGAGGGCCCCTCAGGGAGAGCTGAGGCCTCAGCCAGCTCCTGCAGCAATGAGAGGACCCCATAGAGGATGGAGAGCGACATCTTGGCTGATGGGTCCCAGTGATATCTGCGACTATTTGGCTCTATCTTCAGGCCACACTCCTCCAACAGGCCACAGGTGATGGCCACATCCTCCTCCTGGAGTGGGGCTAGGAGCTCAGGATTGAGGGTGAAGGTAACAACCTCCAAGTATTCAAAGTGGTGCTCCAAGATGCTCCTTGCCTAGAAGAAGGATTATTAGATTGTACAGACCCAACTTTGAGATCAGGAAGAGAAACCTTCCACCCCAACAGCCAGGGACCAGGCAGGATAATAGCAGGAGCAAGAGCTTTGGCATCATGTCCTATGATCAGGGTGATCAAGTCACTGAAAATCATGGCACACTGGTTTCTCATTTACCAAATGGTGATAATAAAACTCTCCTTGCAGAATAGTGCTAAGTATTTTGATTTCTAAATGTGCGTGCACGTGTATAAGCATATAAACCCATTTGTCCATATATAAATGTACAGGGAGAGATAGAAGCAGAGCCATTAGCAAATGGTAACTGCAATTAAAGCAAAGATAATTGCTCACAACTCCTTAGACCTCAAAGACCTGTGCTCCTGTATAGATATTCTAGACCTGTTGGGACCTACTGCTGGGGATGCCATGTAAACCAAGGCCCTCCCAAGGGACACCCCTGCCCAGTAGGCCTGCTCTCTAGAGGGAGCCTGCAGCCAGGGATTGCCCAGTGGGCACCCCAGGATCCCGTCTCCCCTGCCAGCGTAGACCTGCATCCTGTCTCTTTTCTCAGAACCATTCTTCTTATCTTTTGTCCTCTCATCCCAGTCCCTGAACTTCTGGCCTCCAGGGAATTCTCACCAGCTCCCGTTGGTGACCCATGATCCTCTTCTCCATGGACAGGGCCAGAAAGTAATGTTGGATGTCACTCAGCTCTGGGGGTGGGAAATGTGGGGAAAGAGAGTGAGGAAGAGTCCAGATTTTCACTCCCACCAGGAACCAGGAGACCCCCCTGAGAGAGGAACGCTAAGGCAGAGGAATAAAACCCATTAGACTTGAAGGTCAACCTCCCTGCCCTGGGGAGTCCTCCTTTGGCTCTTGTGAATGATCTCTAGGATGCTAAATGACATGACCCAGAGGCTGAGACTCTGAGGCTAGAGACTGGAGTCATCCACCTCCAGTGGTGTCTTAAATGGCCAGTCACATTCTAGGCTCAGGCTTGGTCTGGGTCATGTGGAGAGTTATCACAGTGAGCTCTTCTGACTGTGGAGAGAGCTGAAGATGAAAAATCACAATATTTGAGGAGCTTTGGAGAGGTGGCATCTAACATGGTTCTTTCATGGGGCCTGGGACTTTAATCCCTTTAATCACTCTTACCAATTATGCCTTCAAGGAGACCAAGAATGGCGTGCTCTGCAGGGCTTGAGTTCTGTTGCAGTTCATTTAGGATGTTGCAAAGAGGGTCATCCAAATGACACAAGCTATCGGATTCCAGCTATAGGAGACAGTTAGGATTGTTTATAATAAGAACATTAATGTTATATAACCTGCCTGTGTCTTCTGCACTAAAGATGGTCACCAAGGGGCAGAGGAGGGGGCTCTCCCCTCCAGTGCATTCTGGGCACTGTGTGGAGGCTGTGCTCCCTGGCCCAAGTCATTGTGACTAGAGTCAGAATCCCCAGTCTTTCTCATGCCCTGGCTTCCTGCTCACTCCTCCTCCCCCGTGTGTTGATAGCCATAGCCCCTAAGCTCTCCCCCATTACAGCTTCAATCAGCCCCAGGCACCTCTGGAATCCCTCACCATGTCCTCCAGGTTCTCCAGAGCCCTCTGATCTCTGAGCATGGCCAGGACACTATGGAACACGACATGCTGAATGTTCTTGGAGAGTCCACTCAGTGCATCCGTTTTCGAGGACACCTCATTTTGTAGATCCCCGAAATCTGTCCTCAGGCATCAGCACCAACCAGAAAATGGGGACAATTCTTTGATTAGAACATTCCTGGGGCTGGTACAGTGGCTCATGCCTACAGTCTTAGCTACTCTGGAGGCAGAGGCAGAAGGATCACTTGAGCCCAGGAGTTTTAAGTTGCGGTGAGCTATGACGCCATTGCTCTGTAGCCTGGTTTCCATAGCCAGACCCCATCTCTCAAAATGCAAAACCTAACCTTGAAAAAATCGTACCTCTCTTCTGCCTAGAAAGAAAATCAAGTGATCCTCTCCCTTTTTTATCCCCCGCCCCCCGCAATTTTATTTTACCCCACTTTGGAGCGTTCATCCCTTCTACCACGTCCTCCCTCTTGCTTACCCACTTCCTGCCCACATCCCAGTCCATCCAACCACCTCCCAGCCCTTTCTGGGCCCTTTCTGTTGCATAGGAGCCAGGGCCAGGCCCAAGGGCAGTGGTGGCAACAGCAAAAGCAATCGACCCTACTTACCCAATGTGCGCAGAGTGGGATACTTACCCTCATAGTCATCACTCTCACTCCCACTCCCACTCTCACTCTCACTCTGCCTGGTGTCTTCTAGAAGGAGAAATTAAATTCCTCACCAAAGAGTTTCAAAGACTGGGTTCCTCCAGTCTCCTGCCTCTCCTTCCCCTGAACCCCTTTACTCTCTTTGCCCAGGAAGCCAAATCCCAAGGCCTGGGTGATGGCAACAGAGGCAACCAGGGGCACTGTTTTTTCAGAGTGACCTGGGGAGAAATCAGATTCCACTTTCTCCCACGCTATGACCACCACTCACCTCCCAGGCTCAGATCCTCAATTTTCTAGGGGCAGAGAAGGAAAAATGTTTACTCACCAAGAGTTGGTGTGACCCCACCCCACACCTTTCCTCTTTCACTTCTTCCCCTCTGGGACTTCCCTCTCTGACTCCTCTCTCCTCCCTCTATTTCTCACCTCCTACCAGCACCTCAGTTGAGAAATTTCTCCAGAGAAATGGATCCTCAGGTAGCCCTTACCCCCAACAACTGACACCTATCGAGCATTCCAAGGGGGAAGGCTGCTTCCTGCAGCCCAGGGGTCACTGAATGAGTCAGAGGCAGGGAACAGGGGCAGGTGAGGGGGGACCCTGGCTGGGGGAACATCCCATGGAGGTGTGTAGAGATCTCAGCCCAAGTGAGGGTCATGCATAATCCCAAATGAGTCAAGCCTCAGCAAGGCCAACCTCTGGGCAGTGAAACTCCCAGGCTCCACCACTCACCATTCTGACTGTCCTCCTGCTCATCAAGAAATAAAATATTCCCTGGATGGAAAAGAAACCCAGTTAGGAAAGCTGAGGTTATTATTCCCAAGGCTTTCCCACACCCTTCAACTGTGTCAGAATCTCCGGGAAGCTTGTTAATACTCTGCATTGTCTGAATCACTCTTTGAAAGGTGCCCTGGAACTGATTTTGAAATAAATACCCGGGGGAAACCTTAAGCCCTCCAATGTTTGAGAATTACCTTTATCAATAAATAGATGACCTCTCACTGCCCTTTTCCTACTGACCTGCCCTCACTCCCAATCCAGCCACCTCCTCCAGTGATTGCACACTCCATGTGGGGAAATATGCTGAGGTC